AGATGGCATTACCCGTCCCTAATCAGACCCTGATTAAATTTCTTATTTTTATTTAATATATGTATATATGGTGTACAAATAAATAAATATATGTACATATGTATACGCTTATCTATACTATATTATTACGAATATGACAAAAACTCTTAAAAACTATTTTTTAAGCATGAAGTACTGCTTATTGATACATATTACTTAAACTTCAAGATTACAAATAGATTGTGTGTATGTACAATTTATTAAAGTTTCATGTTTGAATTCGTGTAACTAACTACAGATAAACATAATCAGATAAATGATAAATATCTCATTTTAAATATAAAAAATCTAAAATATAATTAGAATAATTACTGAGTTCTAACGAACTACTTAATTATTATCCTTATAAAAAACTATATTATTAAACAAAAAACAAAAAATAAATAAATTAGAGAAATACATAAAAAGGTGAAATTGTAAATAGTTAGTTTGGTATTAATATCAACATTTTTTTTAATTTTTTATGATATATCTTCATATTTATATTTTATTCAAAAATAAAAATATTATCGTTTTCTCAAAAGTCAAACCACATAAAACTGTTTTATAACATCAACTGAGACAAAAGAAAAAAAACGAAACATTACAATCGAAATGTATCTCGCTGCATTGTGCAAGTACTCGTCTAGTTATTAAATAACAAATACGTTTGATTTACAATATTGGTAATTAATATAGTGACAATTTATTAGAATTATAAATTTAAAATGCATTATTTTCATTGTTTTATTAAACGGATACCCAACGGGTTTCCCGCACTCGCCGGGTATTTCTTTCCCCCGAACCCATCGAGGATCAGTCAGGGTGTGGTCGGGGACAAGAGGCTTAAAACAGTGGTCGAGAAACAAGGGATGCATTACCCATCTGATACCCGCTCCGTTTTCATGCCTAGATGGGTCTGCAACTAGCGAATGGACGAGATCTGAATCGTGGGTAAGGGGACGGTGCTCCAGGGTTAGTTGGGGTTTTAAGATTCGAACAATAAATGCGTATTCAAGTGAATAAAACAAAAGAAACTAAAAAGTCATTAAAATAGATGAAACAAGAAAAATCACAGAAATATCGTAAACTTTAACAGAGATTATGGATGACCGTTAGTATAAAGGATCAACTCCAACGAAAGGTGCAAATGATTAGTCTTAGTCCGTAATAAATAAAGTTTAAGGAGTACTTTTTGTAAAAGAAACCAAACCATAGGGACCGAATCCGTAAAAGTTATAATAAGGTTACCATTTAAATCGTGTGGACCGTACGGAAGGCTCCAGATGAATAACACGGTCTTGTGTCGACGGCTAGAAAGTCAAGAAGACCATTATTCATTTTAACCCCTGGGGTTTTATCTATTTACATTTCAATCCCTATAGTTATGCTTCTTTTGCTAGACACCTTCTTGCATGACCAAAACAGCCAATCTCCCCAACTAAGTTGACTTTTCTCATTTCAGCAGAGTTTACATAAATGTTTTATACGTTTACGTAAATCATACTTTTAGATTAAATTTTTTATGCAAATGAGGATCTTTACACAATTTTTTTTAATTTCGAATGAGGAAGTGACTAATAGGTGAATTTGGTTGGTAAGATTAGGGGTGACAATGGGTCAGGTTGAGTTGGGTTCAGGTTTAACCCATTTATTAAACAGGTTGAAAAATCTCAACTCAGTCCAACCCATTTAATTAAATGGGTTGAGATTTTTCAACCCAATCAAACCTGTTACCTAAATGGGTTGACAACGGGTTGACCTATTTACGATTTTCTTACCCAACCTGTTAAATAAATGGGTTGAACATGGGTTGACCCATTTAATTTAAAATTCTAAATAAAAAAAGGATTAGATTATTTAATTTTTTTTTAATAAAACACAACCATAAATACAAATAAATTGTTCAAAGTTTGGATAAAACACAACCACAACAAATATATTGTTCAAAATAAGTTGGATTAGACTTTGGAGGCGATAATGGAGTAATGGACTAAAGTATTTTCTCAGGGTTCATGATGATTAATAGTAATGGAGACTATTGAAATTTGGAGTTTCATCTCATGACGGTAGAATTTTTAATTAAGAATAAAACGAAATTAAAAATTATAATACTATATATAATATTAAGAAAAAATAAAATTATATAATATTTTAAATGAGTTGAAAACGGGTCGTAAACAGATCGAAAAACTCAACCCAACCCATTAATTTTAATGGGTTAGGTGGGTTGACACATTTATTTAAATAGGTTGAAAATCTCAACTCAACCTGCTAATTTTGGGTTGGGTTAGCGGGTTGGGTCATTTTTTGCCACTCCTAGACAAGATTGACTATTTCGGTCAATTTTCCTTTATCTCATCCCACCTCATGTATGATGGGACAAAGACTTGAGAACCAAAATGGTTATAGAATTTTACAAAGCCAGATGTCAGAAAAATACTGAAAATAGATTAAAAATGTTATTTTAGACAGTTATGCATATGATGGAATCTTGATAATTTGTATGCATGACACTGTGTTCTTGAAACTTTTGCTTTACAAAGGATGCATATGTTCTCGAAACTTTGTAAAAGAGAAATAATTATATGTTTCCTTCCAAAACTTTCTTCTCAGACGTGGAAAAAAAATGAATGGAATAACACAGATAAAACAATTTTTTTCTTTCCAAATTCGATAACACAGTGGTAAGTAGATATAGATTACAGTGTTGAAATCGAAGTCTGTAAGCTTTATAACATCTCCAATAGCTATGTTATTTTAGAAATTCTGAAGATTTGAGAAAAGTTTTTTTTTGATTAACCTGGATATCCAACTCGCTATGCATCTGACTAATCCAAGAACAATCATCTGATTTACAGATAGTCCGAAGTCACCATATTTGAACCTCTGTGGCTACAAGAGGATATTTATTCCTTCTTGGATTTGAACCTGAGACATCCTGTTACTTTTGACTTTTTGAACCAAGCTCAAACCAATCAGGCACCACCCTTGTGGTTAGAGAAAAGTTTGATTTAACAACTATGTTACACTCTTCTTTAGAATCGAGAACAAAAGGAAAGAGTGAATTTTTTTCCAAATTTGGAAGAAGAGAGAGAAAATATAGCATACATGATCGAGATGCTCTTAGATTGCATGATTTGCATCATAAAAAAAGTAAGGGGGTTATTTGAAAATAAATGAAACTACAAGGGTGCATTTTTAAAATTGGACAGTCACATACGGTTCGGTTGACCAACATCACTATCTGGGTTCTGTTTATTCAAACCGCGGTTCAATTTCGGATTACTCGTAAGTTATTTATATAGAATCTATTTTAAGCCACGTGACTAAAAAAATAATTAATTTTACAAAATATATTAATTTTCAATAATATTTTTAATATCAAAAGCTTGAGTAAAAATATTTTTAAAATGAGTAAATTGTATGAAAAAAATAAAATACTTTAACTTGATTCTTATTTTGGATAACGTATTTTTAAAACATACATTTTGATACATAAGATGTAAAAAATTTAAACATTTAAGTACACGGATAACCGGTTATTATGTTGATGCGGTAAGTGATATGGTATCCAAATCAATATTATTTGTTATTCAACCCAATTCATCTCATCACTCGTCACATTAGTATGGTAACCGGTTAATGTTTCAACCAGTCATCCGAGTACTTAAATGTTTAAAACTTTATATCTTAGGTATCAAAATGAAAGTTTTCAAAGTACGTTACCTAAATATGAATCAAGTTAAAGTACGTTACTTTTCCATACAATTTACCTTTTAAAAATCATTTTTCGCAATACAAATAATTAAAGAAATTATAAAAAACAAAAAATAATTATTGGTAAAAACAGAATGTTAATATGAATTTAGTAAATAAAAATCTGATGTGTTTTAATTTTACTGGTGAGAAAAGAATGAAAAGTGAAAATTTTGGGACAATTGATATTTTTTCGGCAACTGAGGGTTTCCAGTCCAGCTTACACACATCGACTGATCCCCTAAGCGACCATGAATGACATGCAGATGTCGCAAGTTAACCTTCATGGCCATATGGAATTTGACATCACCTGGATTCGAACACAAATAGGTGGTATTTTCAAGCACATTCCCCTGATGCTTAATCAGTACGCCACAATCCAGTTGGTTTTTATCTGGTTACAATTAATCTTAACTTGACCTGATTTAAAACTGTATTTGATCAAGCAACCAATCAAACTAAAACTGTATTTAACATTTTTTTTAATTTAAATCAATATATTATATATAATTAGTGAAAACTAATTTTTAGTGAATTTTAAAATATTATAATATTTTTTAGAGTAAGCTACAAGTTTGGTCCATGTGGTTTGTTAAAAATAACACTTTTTGTCCCTCTAGTTTCAAAATTGCAAGATGTTCATCGTGATTGCAAAAACGCCCCAATTTATTCCCTTCCTCTAACATCCGTTAAAAAAAATCCGTTAAGTGAGACATTTTTGTCTTTTTATCGTTTTTTTGTCTTTTACCAAATCAAAAACCACAAAGAACAAAATCATAAAATCAATTTTGATTGGGTAAAAGACAATAAAAAATCGACAAAATGATGAAAACGTGTAAATCCCAATACTGGTTGGGGAGGGGAACTATGGTTTTTTATAAGGTATTGGATGCATTCTCTATCAGACGGCTTTTAAAACCGTAAGTCCAAGTGTGGATAAAACAAACAATATATGGGTCGTTTGTCTTAGATGTTACGAAATACCGTTTATTTAACGGAGTTTTTTTTAATGATAGTTAGATTAAGGGACCAAATACGAATATTCATGTAAACCACAATGACCATCTTGTAATTTTGGAACTTTAGAAACAAAAGTGTTATTTTTGACAAACTATAGGGACCAAATGTAGAATTTACTCTATTTCTTAAAATAAATTATGTTACTGTTACTTAATGAGAAAATTCTTTACTATAAATAGCAGAGCAGTCTATCAGAAGGTGTCATAGAAGCAATAGATACTTCCACCATTTGCACTACGATTCTGCAGCTTCACCGCATCGACTCACCATATCCACAGCTTCATATCCATATCCAAATTGATCCAAACCCTAGAAAACAAGAATCCAACAGCATTTGCGTCACAGAAAAGGTATGTTAATCTTCAACTTCTGCTTGATCTCGATTTAGAAACGGTTTTTGGTGTTTTTGTAATTGGTGATAAAGGACAAACGACGAGTGTTTGAAGAAGTTTAATTCCTGTTTAGTTAGCGAAATTCTGGTTTGTGTTCTTGTTTACTTACTTGAATCGTTGTTTTTGTTCGAATTGATTATCGTGAATTTGGTTTATATGCGATATTTGTTCGTCTGAATCACGAAATTTCATGATTAGGGTTTTGATTGCACTTTTATGTCCTGAATTGTTTTTAGGAATCAAAAAGTAATAATATAAGCTCAATTCTTCTATATTTGTGTGTAGGATCCTCAATGAATCAACATGACTAGGGATCGTATAATTGTACGAAGGACCTTTGATTTGTTATCAAACAGCTGAATTCCGAAGGTAGAGATATTCCTGGAATCAAAAAAGAGGAAATCGATTCTCTATGCAGGCATCCAAACAGAATCATTACCGGAATCCTGCTGAAAAGATGGATCGGAATCTATACTCAGCTGAGATAGACCAAGGAGGTCGTTTTTCCGTTCAGACACCTGAATTTGGTAACTACTCTTCTTCTACAGCCAGTTTCTCCTCAAATGGCAGCCCCATTTCACAACCAGATTCTCACTCCTACCGGCCAGACATATATCATTCACCCGACTATACTTACGCCGCACATGTAAGTAGGGTTGGTTTTGCAGATAATACCGAAGATCTAGAGTACAGGCTGAGAGAACTAGAGAGCGCTATGCTAGGAACCGATCAAGATTCTATGGGATCTTATGATGTTCCTTCTTCTTGGTGTGGAACTAATCAAACAGCTTCTAAAACAATAACAGAGATGATATCTAGAGGGGACTTCAAAGAATTGCTTCTTGCGTGTGCTAAATCAGTAGCAGAAAACGAATCAATAACCGCCAACTGGTTGATGTCGGAGTTACGCCCGATGGTGTCGGTTTCTGGTGATCCATCACGTAGATTAGGAGCTTACATGTTGGAAGGGCTGGTTGCAAGATTATCTTCTTCGGGCAGCTCTATCTACAAAGGTCTAAGGTGCAAAGAACCAACCGGTGGTGACCTCCTTTCTTATATGCGTTTACTCTATGATGCCTGCCCTTATTTCAAATTTGGGTTTTTGGCCGCCAATGGAGCGATTGCTGAAGCAATGAAGAACGAATCCAGAATCCATATAATTGATTTTCAGATCGGTCATGGTAGTCAATGGGTGACCCTAATCAAGGCTCTTGCTTCTCGGCCTGGTGGACCTCCTAAGCTTCGGATCACAGGTGTTGACGATAGCACAAGTGCGCATGCTAGAGGTGGAGGAGTTAGTATCATTGGTCAACGGCTAGCGGATCTTGCTGAATCTTGTAACATCCCATTTGAGTTTCATGGTGTGACAGTCTTTGGTTCCGAGATTGAGGTTGAACATCTTGGTATTCAGCCTGGAGAACCGTTGGCTGTTAATTTCGCATTTATGCTTCATCACATGCCAGATGAGAGCGTGGATCCTCGGAATCACAGAGACCGACTGTTGAGACTCGTCAAGAGCTTGTCTCCCAAAGTTGTAACACTCGTTGAACAAGAATCCAACGTGAATACCGCCCCATTCTTTCACAGGTTCCAGGAAACGCTCAACTATTATACAGCGATCTTTGAATCAATCGACGTGACTCTTCCTAGGGATCATCAAGAGCGAATTAACGTCGAACAGCATTGTCTTGCTCGTGATATAGTGAACATTATAGCGTGTGAGGAGGCCGAGAGGGTGGAAAGACATGAACTTCTTGGGAAATGGAGGTCTCGGTTTACTATGGCTGGATTCAAAGCATACCCTCTAAATTCATATGTGAATGGCACCATCAAGGCTTTGCTTGCGAACTACTCTGAAAAGTATAGATTTGAAGAACGAGATGGGGCTCTGTTTCTTGGCTGGATGGATCGTGATTTGGTTGCTTCTTGTGCATGGCAATGAATCCAATCAATGCAACAACCTACGCCAAAGCTTGTAAGTTTTAGATGGTAATCTTTAGCAATGTATTATATGACAGATTTCTGGTAATAAATGATTGATATTTTCAACGTACAATTGTTTTTGTTAGAGTTCATGTCGGCTAGACTTTCTCTTCTATCCTCGATGATTTTTTAGAGAGTAATCTAATGGGTTCCACATATTCTCATAATTTGAGGAGAGAAAGGAAGGTTCCAACAAATATCGAGGATAATAGGTCCAAATCTAGCGAACATGAGACTCTACTATTGCCCCTCCAACGGAGGTTAAACGGGCACAGACTGTCCCCGAGAATATTGAGACGGGGAAAGACGAATGAGGGAGCTAGATTGGGTACAAATTGCTCTGGAGTGTTGAGTCCCTAGAGCGGTGCCGGATCCGGGATAGGCTACTTTGGGTTTTTGGTTGATTTCGAGGTATTTTTCTGGTTGGTGGGGGTACAGGTAGAAAATTACCGGAGAAACTATGGTATAAAGTTAAAAAAATATATTTTTAACCTATATAAATGAGGAAAAAAATTTAATGGGGGCCATCCCTAGAACTTAATTTTGATACCATGTGAGAATATGTGAATCCCATTAGATTACTTTCCAAAAGAGGCATCGAGGAGAGAAAGGAGGTTCTAACATATACAGAGAAGAAATGGGCCAAGTCTAGTTGATGTATGACCCTTAACAATTATAAACCAAACAAACACAATATATCTCAAAAGAGCCATCGAAGAGAGAACCAGAGGTTCCAACATATATCGAGGAGAATAGGTCAAAGTCTAGCTAACCGTAAAACTCTATAAAGGTTTCAACTTTTTTGAAGTATATATAATCTTTATATATACAACAAAACTTGCATACATTTTTCTTCTTCGATGAGGATTGAACTTTTGACCTATAAAAATGTATGTTGGAATTTACTGTTAATCTAGATACTGAAAAAGTTGATTGTATGCATCTTTTCTGATGCTGTATTTGTTTTTAGGAAATTGACCAAAATAGTCACTCTTGCCCAACCAAGTTCACTTAGGGGCCGTTTACCCAAATGCTTACCCGATAAGCGCTTACCAATATGAGTCAACACTATAATTTATTTTGATGCGTAAGATTTTAGTACATCAAAACATATCAAATGCAACAATTTACTGGGTAAACACTTACCTGGGTAAGAGTCGTGATCCTCACTTACTGGGTAAGACTCCTCATCCTTCTCATCGCTCTTATTCGGTAAGATTCTTGACTCTTCTCATGTTCATCCGACGAGAAAATTACATAAATTTGCATAACGATTATTTTTTCTTTTTTTTTTTAGTCTGAAAATCGGGCTACGGAAATGAGTAATGTATACCCGTTAACTTGAATGATAATGCAATAAAAAAATGACTAAAAAGTGAAATTAGATTTTATTAATTTTTATCAATTTGTTCTCTTATCTTGCTTTCCTTTTCTGGATATATGTGAATAGCATGTTTCAGATGAACAGTTTCACACTTTCACCTCAGATTTGCAGAAATGTCAGTTCTGGTTGTGGGCTCAGAATGCAAACACCAGTTCAATTGTTGTTACTGCCTGGTGGAATTACCGATATGCCCTCAATGCATAGCAATAACAGGTTCATGAGATAGGATTCTAAAAGGGGTAATCTAGCAAAGCTTTTGCTAAAACCAAAGCAAAGAATGTTTTTTTTTTTTTTTTCTATTAACATGGATATCCAACCTGTTATGCAAGCCGATTAATCTTAAGGCGACCATCTATTTCATGAGTAGCTCAGAGTCATCGCATTTTGCCCTATGTGACCATAAGGGGATTTTGATTTCTGTTTGGATTCGAACCTGAGACCTTCAGGCACTTTTGATCTTTGGAGCTCAAGCTCAAACCAATCGGATACCACCCTTGTGGTTAGGAAATAATGTTATGATCTGACTAAGGGGTTGTTTGTTTACCTCTTAATAGTTCCATTAAGAGGCAAACTCTAAATCATTAAGAGGTGAATCTTGTTTGGCAAAAAAAATATGTCTCTTAATGGTTCTAAAATCCTCTTAATAGTCTTGTATCATGGGTCTCCTTTAATCATTAAGCACCCTAATTTCATTATAAACAATTACCAAACAATTATATTTCATTTTTCACTATATCATGAGAGCCTCCTAATAATTCTGACCACTTAATCATTCTGCACCAAATCATTCAACAACTGTCAAACAGCCCCTAAATTGTTAAATCTTAGTTTTTGTAATTATATTTAAAGAAATTATTTATTTTATTAATTTCATAATTTAGACACAAGAAAAAATATTTGTTGTTCAACACAACCCATTTTGAACCTAATAATAAGGAAATTTGAGAACCTATAACAATGAATAAATTGCCAAAATGGGATACAATGTGCCAAGTATAAGAAATAGAACTCTACCACTCTTTTTGATTTTTTTTTCTTCCAAAAATACCCTTGAAACACCCATACTCGAACCCTTTGCCTCCTCTCTCTGCCACCGCAGTCGGCTCCGCCTCCCCTCTCCCTTCTAGCATACAAAATTTGATGGTGATACGTTGGTTAAACGACAATGATGCAATGATGCTTTGATGGTCATACGATATAGCTGTTGTTACATGTTTTTTAGTTTCTCTTTTTTGCCATATGATTACTATACATGGTGGGTTGATGGTCAACGACGGTTCCCTAATGATCAAAAGAAGGTTCCTGACGACGAGTGTCCTAGTTTTCATAGGACCATATACATCGGTATGTACCAGATCAAATATATTCTATTTTTGAAGGAGAATGGCTACTGAAAGTTCCTCTAGTTTGTTTTATTGTTTGCAAACAGTTTGAAAATCATGCATACCAGATAACACACTTCTTTTCGACAATGGGGACATCATTTTTTCACTTGTGGTCATATTCGAGTGCTAAATACAGTTTCAAGCATTTCTCATCTCTTCCCATGATCAAGGAATCAAGAACGAGTTTCCACAACGTTACCAAAGCCGTTGCAGTAACTACTGGGTTAAGGAGTCTTATACACAACGAAATTACTTATAACCCTAACCAGATCCATATGGAATAAGGTAGTCCAGTTGTTATCCCCCACCCCACCCCACCCCACCCCACCCCAACCCAAAACAGTTAATGAAATGTTGAATTCCACTGGATCTTCTAGCTTTGTGCCTCAGTGATATCTGCTCCAACACGTCAATCCAATAATCGTCAAATGATTGTTAATGAGTTACATTTTGTGTTTAGGTGCTAGTAAATCAGAAGGGCAGTTCGAGAGGTATTAGAGATATCGAAAATCTCTGATGAAAAACAGATTAATTGAAAAGTGGTTAAAGTGTTAGAGTTTTAGATACCATTTAAAGCTCCTAAACCCCTCAGTGGTTTTTGTCTTGGATGTCTGGATTTAACACGAGAAATGGAAAGTGTCGTTGTCCTTATCTCCGATCTGTATTTTCTTGATTTGTGAATGTACATAGAACTCATAGATCTGAATATCTTTTATTAATCATTAAGCTTTTCACGCGTTTAAACTGTATCTTTATTAGACGTCTAGAGATATTATTCGTGCCACACAAGAGGGACAAAAGTTGTCTTGGTCCAAGCTAACCCTACCATGAAGGACAATCCTGATCTTTTAAAAGCTGAAAACATCATTTTAGTTATAAAAATATATATCTTACAGATTTTTAGTTTTAAATAAATAGCTATCAGATAATTATATATATATTAGAATGATACTCGCGTAATACAACGAGATACATCTTGATTTTAATATTTCGTTTTATTTTCTATCTCAGTCGATGTTATAATATGGTCTTATGTGATTTTGAAAAAGCGATAATATTTATATTTTTGAATAAAATATAAAATTAAAGATATCATAAAAATTTGACAAAAATATATCGATATTTGAATCAAATTAACTATTTAAAATTTCTTATTTTTTGTGTAATTTTTTAATTTAATTTTTATATTATAATTTAATTTAGGTTTAATAACAAAGTAATTTATATTTGGTTTAATAATATATTTTTTTATAAATATAATAATTAATTATTTTGTTAGAACTCAATAATTATCCTAATTATATTTTAGATTTTTTATTTTTATAAAATGAGATGTTTATCCTCTATTTGATTATGTTTATCCGCAGTTAGTTATACGAATTCAAAGCTTTAATAAGTTGTACTTATACAAATTTACTTATAATCTTAAATTTTAAGTAATATGCATCAATAAACAGTAATTAATGCATAAAAAATGATTTTTAAAAGCTTTTGTCAAATGCTTTATAATAGTGTGTGTATATATATATATATATATATATATAAATATATATATATATATTAGAAAGGTGTTCGCGCAATGCAGTGAAATACATCTCAATTTAATGTTTTGTTTTATTCTGTTTCCATCGATGTTATAATACGATTTTATGTGGTACTGAAATACGATAATTTTTTTATTTTTTGAATAAAATATAAATTTGAAGGTATTATAAAATTTTGAGATGTATCGATTTTAGTATCAAATTAAATATTTAAAAGTTCTTCCTTTTTGTAATTTTTTTGATTAAAATTTTTATTATAATTTAATTTAGATTTAATAATGAAGTCATCTATTTTTGGTTTAATAATATATATTTTTAATAAAGATAATAATTAATATTTTGTTAAAATTCAATGATTATCTTAAATATATTTTAGATTTTTTATATTTAAAATAAGATAACTATCCAGTATTTAATTATGTTTATCTGCAGTTAGTTACACGAATTCAAACATGAAACTTTAATAAGTTGTATATACGCACAATTTAGTTGTAATAACAATTTTAAGTAATATTTATCAATAAACAATACTTAATACATAAAAAATGATTTTTAAGAGTTTTGGTTAAATGTTTTATAATATAGTGTGTGTGTGTGTATAGGGGCCTAATCAAATGAGAACTATTTTGTTTGTGATAACTGTGAGATTTAATCTCAACCACAAATCAGAGGTTAAATTAGGAAATTAATAATTTTGTTATTTCAACTTAAAATATTAATTAGGAGCATTTTAGGGATTTTATAAATACCCTCTCTCATCTCTCCTCTTTCCTCTCTCCGACGAATCTTATTCAGTGAATCTTATTCCGATTAACCTTATGTAAACACAAGATACACAATGTGATACCTACAAACGATGTTCCCTGTGATACTCAGATATACATACAAGATGCACAATATGATACCCTTTGTAAAGCAATGAAAATTACAAAAATACACACTATGATACATTTCATAAAACAAAAAAAATACATTATGATACACGTGAAATATTGTGAATGTTATCGCTATGATACATTTTGATTCACAAATGTCTTTAAAATACGATATATATTAGGTAACTAATTTTAATTAAATATTTACTTCTAAAAAGTTTAATTAAATATTTTGATTAGTCGTCAAAAATAGAATTACTATATTACTTTTTATGCTTATTTAGGAAATATCCTTGTCCTTAAATATCTTGAAAGAGTGGTTCACAATAGATCTCACGGTTAATACAAACTAATCAGTTCTCCCTTAAATGAACCTATATATATATTATAAATTTTTAAAAATACAACGCTATTTTTTCTACAAATAAAATTTCTAGATAACGAAAATTGTCCTGTATTTTTCGGAAATTTTAATTATTTTTAGATAATAAATTGTGAGATATTTATAATGATTCTAAATCATTATAATTTATAAACCTTTTTACTACACTATTAATGTTTAGATACTGGATTTGTGAAATAATTAAGAGGTCATAATCATGAGATATTGTGTTTTTTTTTATTAACCTGGATATTTATATCATCTGCTGTACGGATAGCCCGGAGTCACTGCGTTTGAATCTTCGTAGCCATAAGGGGATTTTTATTCCTCCTTGGATTTGAACTTGAGACCTCCATACACTTTTGATCTTTGAAGTTCAAGCTCAAACCAATCAGATATCATCTTTGTGGTTGAGATATCGTATTTTTTATGTATAGTACAAATACATTAACCAATAAATGGTCCAATGTTTGACCTTGTTGTATACTGTTTACTAATGGGTTGTTTAACCAAATGCTTACCCGGTAAGTGTTTATCTATATGAGTCAATACTATAATTAATTTTGATGAGTAAGATTTTAGTACATCAAAACGTATTGAATGCAACGATTTACCGGGTAAGCGTTTACCTGGGTAAGAATCATAATCTTCACTTACCAGGTAAAACTCTATCTTTCTCATCGCTCTTACCCGGTAAGATTATTTGCCCTTGTCATGTTCATCCGATAAGGAAATTTATCCGGTAAGCACTTACCAAGTAAACGTTTAGTAAACGACCTCTAAGAGCATCTTCAACCAATTTTTTTTAGATAGAGAAAATGAGGTTTTTGTTCTTTATTTTGCTTCAACAAATTCTCTGTTTTGAAAATTCTCTAAAACTTGATGTGTGAAGAGATAAATTAATTATTTTTATTTATTATCATCAATCAGATTAAATTATTATTACTTCTTTTAAATTCTTTTTTGAAAAATGTATTGAGAATATAAATATATAGAATATGTTAATAATATAATAGATATTAAAATCTCTATAATAAAGAATTTGTTAAAAACTAAATGTAAATATTACAAGAATATCTGACTTTTATTTTTTTATTTTAAAAAATTACAGAGAATTTGTTGAAGATGCTTTAAAGAAGCAGTAATCATATCTTTATAAACAGATAAATGTCAAAATTTCAAAGCTATTGGGATCGTGTGAGACTAGTATGTTTTCGTGAGATCCGTAAGACTATTTTTTTACATTTGAAACTTTACAGCAAAACGCTGTGAAGATAACCTTCATGGTGTTTTTGTTGTGAAGGTTCGACTTTTTTTACCTTCACAGCTTCACAGCGTTTTGCAGTGAAGTTTCAAATATGAAAAAAGTGGTCTCACGTGAACTCATCCCTTATTATTGTTTAATAAATATTGAACTACAAATCAAACCAAGGTGGGTATAAAAATAAAGGGTTTTAAATAAATAAAAATCTGTTGTTTCAAATTTCATCTCTTTTTTCAATCTTATCAGTTATTTAAATACACGTTATTATATTATTTAGTATTATATCAATAAAGTGATGATATGACTCATCTGATTGGTGGGAGAAAGAGCATACATGAGATCTGAAGACAACATATTTTGTTTCAGTTTGGAGGGCAGATTGTATGAGAGTCGTGGACGTTATCTCTATCCAAAAGGGGTAAAAAAAAACGGACTTAGGTTATGTTTGGTAATTATAAGATAACTTATATTTAGGGGGTGTTTGGGATTGCTTATAAAAACAACTTATTGATTTATTTCGGTGTGATACCGGTAATAAACATTTTTGAGTGTTTGGATAAACAGTTTATCCGATGCCAAACTGTATAAAAAGTTTTGTGAAGAAGTTAAATCATTCTAACTTATAACAAGTTGATAAGAACTTTTGTAAAAAAAAAAAAAATTTGTTTCAAATCAGCAATCCCAAACACCCCGTTAAGTTTATTAAATAAAAAACTCGTTTGATTAACTATAAACTAACTTACAATGGGTTTTTTTTTACCCTTTTCAATCACCATCCTTGTATTTTTTTTATTTTTTTTTACATTATCTTTTTAACTTATCAGTTAGTCTTGATTAAACAAGTTTAAGGGGTTGTTTGTTTACCTTCATTAAGAGGCATTATCTGAATCATTAAAATGTGAATCTTGTTTGGCAAAAAAAACAGTATGCCTCTTAATGGTTTTAAAATCTCTGAATAATTTTGTATTATCCCCCCCCCCCCCCCAACTATTCAGTGTCTTAATTTCGTTATAAACAATTGTCAAACAATTATATTTCATTTTGAACTATATAATGAGAGTCTCTTAATCATTCTGACCATTTAATCATTTTGCACCAAACTGTTCATAATTTCTTAACTAACATACGAGTCATCACTTATTGTATTAACCAACAGTTAATTTTTCAACCAACCCTCTAGTTTATCAGTTAATTTCTAAAATCTCAAGAAAAGAAAAGGAAAAGTTTGATAAAAATAATGAGAATACATGAATGGTTAAACAAGGGTGTATAAGATTTAATGCAAAAAATTATAAATAAAACATAGAGTAAAGTTTAATTTTGGTCTCTAACGTTTAAAATTTTCAATAAATATCATCTTTAAACTTAAAAAACTCGGATTTAGTCCCTCACGTTTGTCAATTCCTAACAGTTTTGTTCTCTCCATCCAATGGTCATTAACTTTTACGTAAAATCCAATTAAATAAAGGGTATTTTAGTCATTTTCATTATTTTCTTAATTTTATATAAAACATATTATATATTTGGTGTTGATCTAAAGAAGGGGAGATGGAGGGGATTGTTTGTCCTTTCCATTTTTCTTTCCTTTTTTGTTCTACAATTAAAATTTAAAAATACAATGAATTTTTTTTTTACTAAAACACCCCTCGTTTAGTTGAAATTTACGAAAAAAGTTAACAACCGTCAGACTAAGAAACCAAAACCGTTGGAATGGACTTTTCCATGATGTAATAGAAGAGTCACAATCCAGTTTTCTTGAAGGGCAAATTGCATGTAAAGTTTTAAACATTTAAATACCCGGATAACCGGTTGAAACATTAATTGGTTATCATGCTGATGTGACGAGTGATATCAGCATAGATATCCTAATACATAGTTGGATATCACATCAGTATGGTAACCGGATAATGCTTCAACTAGTTACCCGAGTACTTAAATGTTTAAAATTTTACATCTTAGGTACCAAAATAGAACTTTTAAAATTACGTTACACAAAATATGAATCAAGTTAAAGTACGTTATTTTTTCATACAATTTGTCTTTTCTTAAAAACTATCTACATATATGAAACTTTGAGCATTCATAGATGCTGAAACAGATACTTCTAAAACATCAGAATTAACAAACGTAAAGCACCAAATCCAAATATGAAAACGTCAGGGATCAAAATTGAACAATACCCAAAAATATAATTAAAGTAGAATTGGTTTTTTTTATTATTTTAATAAATTAAAAATCCAAGATTGAAAAGCTCATCATTTCCTGTCATCTCCTCCAAATATTCTTACACCATCCCCATGAGCCATGAGCCATATGAGCCATGAGCCATGAGCCATGAGCCATGAGCCACTTTCTATTAATTTATACTATTCCCATCATTCCCAGCTACAAATTCCATTTTCTTTTCATTTTTATACACAAACAACAAGTGGAGGAATAACCAAGATTTTCTTTTTCTTTTTTTAATTTATTAATTAATTAATTAAAAAATAAAAATAGAAATAAAAATAAAAATAAAAATGAAAATGAAAATACCCATTTACCTTTGGCCAAGAAAGAGAGTGTGGAGGATGACCCCTGTTCTGCATAGATCTTACCCTCTTCCTCTTCTCCCTATCTAATCTTTCTTCAATTCATTCATCCCCCATTAATGGTGAGCTCTGTTTCTGTTTCTCTAATCAAAACCCCATTTCTGTCCTTCTTTCTTTCGCTTAATCGATTCCATGATCTATTTCAATTTCTGGGTTTTATAGGAATCTGAAATCTACTCGAGATTGATGATGTTTGAGGGATCCGATTCCACTTCCTGAATACTTTCATACTAATCCGATCACTGTTTTCTACTCGATTTCCCCTAATTCTCCTCAAGATAAGGTAATTTTTCACTCGCATTTTCATCTGTTCATATGGAGAATTGTGTTCATTTCTGCTGGATTGCATGAAATCTATGTATCTGATAGGGTTATAAAGTTTTGAATTTTGTTATATGGATTGTGATGTCTTTTTGCTTTTGTTTCTTTGTTTGTAGTTCAATTTGGGTGTTTTGGGTTAGTATTCAACTTGATTGTTAGTTGGGATTGTATTCGATTTTCATGGCAATTCAACATGGGGTTATGGAGAAGATGGAGTCTGATTTCGGGAAGCTGTTTATTGGTGGGATATCGTGGGAGACGGATGAGGGTCGGTTGAAGGAGTATTTTGCTAGTTATGGTGAAGTGGTTGAGGCTGTGATCATGAGGGATCGAATCACTGGTCGTGCTCGTGGATTTGGGTTTGTGGTTTTCGCTGATCCTGCTGTTGCTGAAAGAGTTGTAATGGAGAAGCATATGATCGATGGTCGGACCGTAAGTTGTTTCTCCTAATAACCCCTAATGTACATGATTTCAATGCGATAGAAGTAATTGAATTTAGGTTTGTTATCATGAACAATTTGTAGTGTTTAGAGTCTCGCATCAGCTAGACTTGAAACAGTTGTCCTTTATATATGTTGGTACATCCATTGGTAATTCTTTCTTTCATGGTATCAGAGCATGTCTAATACTTGACAATTTGGGATAATCTCTACTTGTTTAGCCCCATTAACCATCTAGCCCCCTATCGACATTCTGTACTTGTCTAGCCCCACTTGGGGACAAATTGTGTCTGTCTAACCCCCATTGAGAGGATGTGTTAGAGTCCCACATCGGCTATACTTGAACCACATTTCTTCAAAATATGTTGGAACCTTCTTCTCTCCTTAAGGGTACGTTTGGTACACTTGAAAGGACAGAACAGAACAGGGATACTGTTCCAAGTTTAACAGGACTAGAATTAGGTGGAACAGACTTATGTTTTACCGATAATTTCAAAATAAAAGCTAATTCTCTTTTAAAGCATCAAATACGTCTTCATCTTTATATTTTATTCATTCTTTAAATTTTATTTCTGTATTTTATGATCTTTAAACTTCACTTTTACCGTCCTCAAAATATTATTTTTATACAATTTCCATATTTTGATTAATTTATGTAATTCAGTAGGCGTAAATTGGTCATTTTATTTGTTCTATCCTGTCCAGTTATGTCTTATCGAACGCTGAACAACTAGTTGTCTTTACATGTCTTGATATCAAATGCATCCTAAAGGCTCTTTTGGAGAGTAATCTGATGGGATTCCATATATTTTACATGGTATCAGAGCAAAGTCTAACACTTTAGGGAGTATAAACCCTAGGGCCATCTATGCCCGTCTAGCTTATGTTGGAGGGAGCGTGTTAGGGTCCCATATTAGACAGACGTGGACCATTTCTTCTTTATATATATGTTGGAATCTCCATTCTCTTCCCAAGGGCTCTTTTGGAGAGTAATCTAACGTGGTTCCATGTGCAGGTTGAAGCAAAGAAGGCGGTTCCGAGGGAAGACCACCACGTACCGAATAGAAACAATGGCGGAATCCAAGGATCACCGGCGGCTCCTGGTGGCCGTACAAAGAAGATATTCGTTGGAGGTTTAGCATCCACCGTCACCGAAAACGACTTCAAGAAATACTTTGAACAGTTTGGTGCCATTACAGATGTGGTGGTGATGTATGATCACAACACCCAAAGGCCAAGAGGTTTCGGATTCATCACTTTCGATTCAGAGGAAGCTGTAGATAGGGTTCTGCATAAGACCTTTCATGAACTCAACGGTAAAATGGTGGAGGTCAAACGGGCCGTCCCAAAAGAGTTATCACCCGGGTCCAGCCGGAGCCCGTTGGTTGGATATAGCTACGGGTTAACCAGACCCAATCCGTTTCTTGCCACTAACTACCCTCAAGGCTATAATATGAGCCCGATTGGAGGCTATGGAGGTAGAACCGACAGCCGGTTCAGTCCAATTGCTGGTGGCCGAACTGGGTTCTCACCATTTGGTTCATCTGGTTACGGGATGGGCATGAACCTGGAGCCGATTAGCCCGAGTGGGTTCGGAGGGACCTCTAATAACATGGGGTATGGGCGCGTTTTAAGCCCGTATTTTGGTGGGAACTCAAACCGGTACATCACTCCTATCGGATACAATCAAAGTAATGTCAGAAATGAGTCGTTTATAGGTTCGTCGAACCGAAACGTTTGGGGAAACGGTGGGCTCACGAGCCCGGCTGGGTCGGGTGCGTATTTGGGTTCAGGAAATGGCGGTTTTGGGGTGTTTGGAAATGGACCGAATTGGGGTTCTTCACCGATATCTGGGGTGAGTTCTTCGGGCTACAATAGTGGAAGTATAGGAGGTTTAGGGGGTGCAGAAAATAGTTATGGGATTGGAGGTGGTGGGATTGGAAGAAACAATGGAGGTCATGAAGGGTCTTATGGTAATTTGTATCGTGGCGGTTCGATGTATGGTGACCCGACTTGGCAGGCTTCGTCTAATGAGCTAGATGGTTCAGGTTCGTTCGGTTACGGGCTTGACGGTTCAGAAGATGGTGCAGGCCGAAGTTCGGAGGGCTATGTTGGGAACTATAACATTGCAAATAGACAAACTAATAGGGGTATGCATATATGATTCCTAATCTTTACATTCATCTTGTCTCTTATCTTCAATATACTTGAAATAGATGCATAAATTGATTCTGCTTGTTAATCCAATAATGTTTTCAAGGTTTGCATACATTCATCTCGTCTATTCACAATGAATAAATTGATTCTGCTTGTGAATTGAAGAATGTTTTTCAAGATTTGCTTACATTCATCTCATTTCTTCAAGATGAATGAAGTGATTCGGCTTCTTGATACAAGAATCTTTCCAAGATTTGCTCTCTTTTCTTCAAGATGAATGAAGTGATTCTGCTTGTTGATCCAAGAATCTTTTCAAGATTTGCATACATTCATCTCATTTCTTCAAGATGAATAAACTGATTCTGCTCATCAATTCAAGAATATTTCCAAGATTTCTATACATTCATCTCATCCATTCACGATGAATAAATTGATCATGCTTGTTAATCCAAGAACGTTCTCAAGATTTGCATACAGAATCTTGATTCTGCTTGCAAATCCAAGAAAGTTTTCAAGATTCGCCTACATTCATCGCATCTCTTCACGATGAATAAACTGATTCCGCTTGTTAATCCAAGAAAGTTCTCAAGACTCGCATACAATATCTCGAATCTCACTTGTTTATTGATGAATCCTTTTCAGGGATTGCTGCATAGAAAGTTTTCAAGATTCGCATACATGAAAGAAGGTAACTTTAGGAGGAACCGTTATTTTCGTAGATAACCCTCTTTAGTATACAACACGAGCGGCATCTTTAACGCGATTTAGTCTGCGGATTCTTGAAACGATCCATATACTTAAAAAGGGAATTTTTATGGCAAGTTTTGATTTCTTCATTGACCGTAGGGTTTCGGGCATCAATGTGTTTCTTTGTTCCACTTTCGATGTGTTGTTGTGCATCTTTTCGAATGAGGGGTGTTAGAATAGAGGATGAATAATTTGTGTTTCTCTTTCGGGTTTCTTGATATTTTTCTTTCGTTATTTTGTTGTAATTTCTGGCGAAGTTGCCGGTACTCCGATCTTTGTTTCTGAGTATGTACTTTCGGTTTTTCGTTTGATTTATGAAAAGTGTGAATGATTAGAGATGGATTCAACTTAATAAGTTGACTCAATCTTCATTACTTTATATGTCCCTTAAACTACTTGAGGTCCCGATCTGCGAAAATATGTGAAACCCTGTTAGATTACTTTTCAAAAAAGAGCTACCGAGAAAGGAAAAAAAGGAGCTTCCAACCGTCCAATGTATATTTAGAAGAAATGGTCTAAGTCTAGCTGATGTGTACTCCAACGAAGGCTAGATGGGCATGGATTGTTCAGAGTTGTCCAGAGTGTCGAGTCCCTAAAGTGGTAGACATTGTCTTTGATACCATGTGAGAATATATGTGAAACATCATTACATGACTCTCCAAAAGAGTTATTTAGTAGAAAAGAGAAGTTATAACATATATTGAGAAAAAAACTGGTTTAAATCTAACTGATATGGAACTCTAAAAGATATAGGCACGGTTTGATCCGCTCGTCACGAATGAAATCATTTTTTTTTGTTAAATTTGCAAATATAGACACGGTTCGATCATGTGTGTGGTTGAATATTCTTAAAGGACGTTAATGGAATATGATTAGAGTATCGCGAACAACTATGTTATTTGAGGGGTTGTTTGTTTACCTTTCTATAGTTTTATTAAGAAACAGTCTATGAATCGTTAAAAGGTGAATCTTGTTTGACAAAAAAAAATCTGCCTCTTAATGGTTCTAAAAACTCTTGAATAATTTTGTATCATGGATCTCTCTTAACCGTTCAGCGTCATAATTTCATTGTAAACAATTATCAAACAATTATATTTCATTTTGCACTATATCATGAGAGCTTTTTAATCATTCTGTACCAAACAATTCAGCAATTGGCAAACAACAAATTTTTAAGTTTTAAAAAAAATTTGCTCTAACAGCTACGTTAAACTCTCCTCTAAAATATAGAAAAAAGGGAAAAGATGAACAAATCTTCAAATTTGGAAAAAATAAATATTACAAAATTTCTAAATTGATTAATATAATTAAATTAAATTTATTTAAGGTTTATTTATTGTGAATTGAAAACAACAAGCGGGGATAGCTCAGTTGGGAGAGCGTCAGACTGAAGATCTGAAGGTCACGTGTTCGATCCACGTTCACCGCATTTTATTCATTTTCTATTTTTTACATTTTACACCCCTAAGTTTTATAAAACTTTCATGATATACCCTTATGGTTTTTGTAATAAGCAATATTTAACCTTTTAAAATTTCAATATCACAAATCTAAGTTGTTTTCCTTTCTACTCTTCTCTCATATTTGGATAAAAATATCAAACGCTTATCCGGTAAACATTTACCAAGTCATGTTATCTTATCGAATGTATAACATAAGAACCGAAAATCGTACCCAGTAAGAGCAATGGCAAGGACCAGAGTCTTACTCGATAAGTGAGAATGATGACTTTTACTCGGTTAACGCTTATTATTGCATACAATGTCGTTTTTATTAACTAAGAACTTCCCCCATAAGGTAGTGACAGTGTTGAATCTTACGACAAACGCTTACCGAATAAGTGTTTTGGTGAAGGGCCTCTAAGTATTTTCTATCACATGTCTGCTTACATTCCATTTCACTGTTTTATGATGCTTTGGACAAAAGTATTACGAGAGTAACTATAGTAACACAGATCTCTGCATACATCTCATATCGCAGATCGCATCTCCAACCCAGATATATTGCAATATTAAGCTCGTTTGGTGAAAAAAAAAAACCAATCTCGACATTTGATAGAAAACCCAATCCCCAAAACACTGATCAGAAGGTTTTCAAAAAGAGACGGTTTACTTACGACGAAAATATCTGAAACGCCATTTCACTTATGTGAACGGCGGTTTATTCATAACAAACATTACATGACGTTATTTGTTAACAAATAACGTTATGTAATTTGTTAACAAATAACGTCTGTAATGCTGATTTAATTAGACCATACCAAGTTACCAACTAACCATCATCAAAATGAGTTTGAATCAAGAAACTAAAACTCCACTTTACCAATGACACATTCATATGTGAATGTAGGCCCATAAAGTGAATTAAATACATGATTGATTCACTTCACCATACAACTTAATCAATGCAGCTGTGATTACATTATTATTGACAACACAAGCAACTAAACATCTTAATCCACTCAGTGAAACTAAAACAACATCATTCAGCTCATGATTATGTAACATCCATATCACTAAAATCTCGATCGATCGTACATATGTAACTCGACGGAACAGAAACCCATCAGTATCTTTAACTTGTGGTTCCGTTTATAAGGTTGTGTATGAATCCCGTTAGATATGAAAGCATGGTTTGGAACCAAGTTACACGTACAACGTTATAAACAAAAGCAGTCTTTATAGAACGTCAAATATATCTAAGGGGGTGTTTGGTTAGAAGTATTAAACAATAATCAATGGGAATAGAAATAAAAGAAACAGTTTGGTTTTTTATAATAGGGAAAAATGCACAAAATAGCAATCTACTTTCATAAATTTTTTTATTATAGCATTGTACTTTCAGTTTTTCTTATTACAGCAATGTACTTTCAAACTATTTTTTATTAAGACATTGTACTTTGAAAAATTTACCCATTATAGCATTGGGTAACYTTTTGATTTAAATTTACTCATTATACTAGGTTTCCATGACACCTCATTGTCCACATAGGCTGTCCACATGTACTATAGTGATGTGACTTTCTTACTACATCATTGTACTTTCAAAATTATTTTATTATAGCATCTACTAGTTCTTATTAAACACTGTATTTTTACTTTTAATATTTAGATATTTTAGATGTTATTTAATAAATGTATTAAATGAATTAAAAAAATTCTAAATTATTCATTAATATACCAATATCAATAAAACTAGTAGAACACAACTTATCTCGCTAACATTTTTAAAAAATATGCATTTTTTGAAAAAAAGAAAAAAAGAATTGTTCATTTTTTACCAAAAAATATTATCTTTTAAAGAATATATTATATTTGTTCAAAAACTTTGTACTTGACATATAAATATATTAAATTAATTAGACTTTTTTGAATTATTTATTAATATAACAATATTAAAAAATTGTAGATAACAATTTATTTCGTTAATATTTTAAAGAGAACTTTAAAAGATATGTATTTATTTGAACAACATGAAATAGGAAAAATTACTTTTTTTACAAACAAAATATATCTCGAAAATAATGTTTCATATTTATTTATTAAATATTTTACTCTAAGAATATTTAATTTGAATGCAACTTAATAAGAAAAAGTAAAAAAAATAATTTTTTTTTAGATCATAGCAATGAAAAATGAAAATCACTAATAATAATTTGAAATAGGTTTTTATTTTAATTTTAGTTAAGTCATCAAAATGATGTGACATCTACATCACCTCATTAAAGTCACACAAACAAAAAAGTCAAAGGGTTAACCGGTTTAAAAGGTAACAGGTTACCCATTGCTATTATGGGTAGATTTTTTAAAGTACAATGCCTTAATAAAAAATAATTTGAAAGTACATTGTTGTAATAAAGAAAAACAAAAGTAGAATGCTATAATAAGAAAATTTATGAAAATAGGTTGCTATTTCATGCATTTAGCCCTTTATAATATAATGAGTTCATTCTTCCAGAAGCCCAAATTTTCATTCCTGGTTAAATTGGGAGAATCAAAACTCATTCCCATTTTTATTCTCTGTCATTTTCATTCTTTAGACCGAACCAAACAGCCCCTAAATGTCTTGGAATACTGTTTTATAGAACTTCTGTAAAATCAAACAATTTTACGCCTCGAGTATAAAGAGTTAAACAATTCAACGTCTTATGTGAAAGTATAATAATAAATTGATAGGACGTTTATGGACATCCTAACAACTTTTTCGGAATACTTTCGAATTGAAACGCTTATTAGTCTGTTATATTACACTATTGATATGACACTTTTGAAATAAAAAACTTACTAGTCTTCGTAAAAGTGTTGCAATAAATTGATAGACGTTTTCTAATGTCCTAACAACGTTTTTTTGAGACGAGTATCCCACGACAAAATGTGTGCGTCGTTAAAAAAAACCAAAATCAGAAATAAACAAAAAATTGTTAGAACGTCCAGATATATCACACTTAATTGTTTGGCAGTTGCTGAATGGTTTGGTGCAGAATGATTAAGTGGTCAGAATGATTAAGAGGCTTTCATGATATAATGCAAAATGAAATATAATTGTTTAGTAATTGTTTACAATGAAATCAGAGCGCTTAATGGTTAAGGGAGACTTAGTATACAAAATCATTCGGAAGGTTTTAGAAACATTAAGAGGCAAACTTTTTTTTTTTTGCCAAACAAGATTCACCTATTAATGATTCGGATGTTGCCTTTTAATGAAATATTAAGAGATAAACAAACAACCCCTTAACATCTTATTGTAACACTAGACGTAAAATTGTTAGGTTCTATAAACTCAAGTCCAGTAAAGCATTCTACAAAATCCGATCCAATTTATCGTAATCGAGTAGTTAACATGTTGGTTAAGTATCATATTGATGTTGATTTTATCCTTAAGTGGTAAAAATGAGAAAGGAACTCTAGAATTCACATGTGAAGATGTTCAAATTCACAACTATTCATAATGAATACCATCCATAGAAGAACAAGAACTAAACTCAAATCTCAAAAACAGAGGTGTTAAAACATAAAGATCCATAATTACATGCATTAAAACAACATCATAAACTAAAGCAGTATTAATCATCAGTTCTTTTGATTCTAAATCTCTAAATGTCACCTGTGAATCATGCCCCGCTGATCCGAAAGCTTTAGAAGAAAGCCCGACTCCCGTAAAACACTCGAGACTGTGTGCTATTCGGTGTCGGTATCTTCTGATCTGAGCTCGAGTTTCCCGAATCGGTCTGCTCCCTTTCCACGTCCAACGGCAGCTTCATCTTAGCCAGCGATTCCGTAAACTGTTGCATACTCTTCATATATAAATCCACAAAATCTTGCTGAACCACCTCCTGTTCGGGCTTGATGTTCACCACCACCACGTTCTTCGTTATCGGATCGCCGCCCAAAGAACGCCTCTCGGCATCACCGTCTTCTGCGGGTTTTTCCTTTAGAGGCGAATCATATTCTTGATTTGCAGATTTGGTGGTTACAATGGGAGCCGAAGCACATTCGGATCCGTTAGTGGACACGCTCGTGGGTGGAGAGTCGGGTTTTGGTGTCTCGATGGCATTCGAGAAGCCGAAATGGGGTGCGTCGACTTGATCATCGGTGTCGGACGAGACCAAACTTTCGGAGCTAAGACCGAAATATTCAGAAACCATCATATGGTTTTCATTTGCTAAATTGGGATCCGGGAACTCGATTCTGTCGAACTCACTCGAGTCACATTTCAGTGGTTCTGAATCAGTCACAGTTCCATTGGCGGCAGGTGGCGGGGGGATGGCGATCACATCCGGTGAGGCTCCGGCGTACGACAAAGATAAGTCAACGAAACCCGCCGGGGAATGGAAAAGATCCGTGGACGATAAAGTGAACTCCTTTTCGAGTTTCCCATTCTTGATCAAGATTTCAGATAAAGGGATCAAAGCAAACCCTAACAACTGATCTTCAAGATAATTTCTCACCCTGCTCAACATAAAGATCTCGCATTTAAGCGAAGAATCGACCGTTGGGACGTTAATTTTGAGGGTTTCGTTAAAGATCGGATTTTTTCCGCCCCCGTTGACGGTCTGAGTGGTCACGGCCTTTTCGGGATTACTAGTGAAGCAAATCTTGGCATAAACATCTTGTTTATGGTATATACAGATGTTCTGAATGTCTCTAGCTTGATGAATGCAAACCTCAAGAACACCGATAAACAGTTCGTTTGCTTTCGTTAGGAAACCCGGAGTTTTTGTAAACAGATCGAGATTCGGGTTTCTGGGATGGGAATACACAGCGGAGGTCTCGAATGGTGAAACAACAGATTGTGGAGATTCCATGAAAACCTGGGAAAGAAGATCAAGATTTTGAAGAATTATGATCAAGAAACAGCATAAATTGGAGTTTAATCCACCATTTTTCAGCAAATTTTATGAAAACTAAACAGGATGAACCCTAGATGATGAACCAAATTCATAATTCTCAACTAATCATCAATTCTGATTCAGAAAAACAGCATAAATTGGAGTGAATTCACCTTTTTGCAGGAAATTTTCAGAAAACTAAACAAGATGAACCCTAGATGATGAACTGAATTCAAAACTCTCAACTAATCATATCAATTCTGATTCAAGAAACAGCTTAATTCACCTTTTTGGAGCAAATTTTCACAAATCTAAACAAGAACCCTAAATTATGAAGTATCTGAAGAACAACTATTAAGCAAACATCATAAACCCACATAGAAAAACAGATTGAAAACCTAAACTGAATTGAAAGAAGAGATAAAAACACCCTCAAAAAGTGAAACAGGAAGAACCCTAATCTTGATCTGAACTCCCAATCCCCAATTAGCAAGAACTGATCCAGTAAACCCAAATTTGACTCCAAAACATCTACACAACACAAATTCCCAACAATTGACTCTGTTTTACCTCAAGAACAGCTCGAAATCATTAACAATAAGAATCGGAGACTACAGATTGACATAAAGAGTCCAAGAAGAAAGCAGAAATGGAAAGCATATATCAAATATAAAAGGAAAGTTAGGTCATATCTTGCCTTTTTTAGAGCACCAAGTTGAGGAAAATTCTTGAAGAATTTGTGATGATTCCCAGAAAAATCTGCAGGAAATCGAGTTCGAGAAGGGAGAAGAAGAGGAATAATGGTAATAAATAACGTTAAAATTGTGGAATAATCTTGTCTCCTGAATTCAATCGATGGGTTTTTTGAAGACTGTGTGGTCTGTGAAAGCTTCTGCGTTCGTGTGTCCCCATTTTTATAAGTTGGTGGGTATTTTTTTTACTATTTTATATCTATAAGATATTATAAATTATTTTATAAAAACTATTTTTTATGTATGAATTACTGTATATTGATATATATAATTTAAAATTCAAGATTATAAATTATGCATAAGTACAACTTATTAAAGTTTCATGTTTGAGTTCGTGTAACTAGCTGTAGATAAATATAATCAAATACATGATAAATATCTCATTTTAAAATATAAAAAATCTAGAATATAATAAGATAATTATCGAGTTCTAATAAAATAATTAATTATTATTTTTATAAGAAAATTATATTATTAAACCAAATATAAATTACTTTGTTATTGAACTTAAATTAAATTATAATTAAAAAATCTGAATTAAAAAATTACACAAAAAATGATGAATTTTAAATAGTTAATTTAATACTAATATCGATATAATTTTATCAAATTTTTATGATATTTTTTAAATTTATATTTTATTCAAAAATAAAAACAGTCATTTTTTCAATTTCACATAAGACCATATTATAACATCGACTGAGATAAAAAATAAAATAAAATATTAAAATCAAGATGTATCTCGCTGCGTTGCGTGAATACCCCCTCTAGTTTTAATAATAATAAAAAATTAGTTAAAACCTCTCTAGATCCGCAAGTGACAAGTCTGTAATTTACGGAATGATCGAACTGTAAAAAAGTTTATTTTGGGGACTCGTATTTATTTTATAGATTTAGTCTCTACACTTACAGACCTTATTTCAAAAACTTCGTTTTTTACATTTTGACTCTTCCACAAATTGAGGATCTGATATTTATCCACCTGGTGACATTTTGGTAAATTTAGAAGAGAAATGGCCAAATAGATGAAACCGCAAGTCGAAAATGACTATTTTAATTAATTATACTTTATTAAACCACGATATTGATTTGATGTTAAAAAATAGGGTGGGTTAAATGTACCCGCTATCTATACTATATTATAACACATTTGATAAAAACTCTTAAAAACTAGTTTTTTATGCATGAATGACGCTCTAGAATATAACGTCATACTTTATTAAGCTATATCTTTAAAAACAAAGTTCTCTAAGGGGCTGTTTACCAAATTTTCTATCAAGTCGTGTCCGGATAAATTTGTCTGTATGGATAAATAGGTGTTGTTATTTACTTTTTTATCTGAACCAACAGTCTGAATAATATAAATGACCGATTTACCCCCCAATATTAATTATTTGAACATCAAAACAAAAAATCATAAAGAGACCAAAGATGGGTGTCTGATATGGGAAGGAGGCAGTGCTTTAAATAAGGGGTAGGAGTGTCATTTTTGTGGCTGAATGGGGACAACACACCATTTTTATCTGTACGATTAAGCCATGTTCGGTGTGAATAAGCCATAAGTAAACAACCCAAATGAGTTGTGCGAATAAGTCAGATAGACCAATAAGTCTAATTAAGCCACAAGTAAACAGCCCTTAAGCCCACAAGTGGCAATGGGCAAACATAATTTCTCTTGTCCTTTTTACTGTACATATAATATTAATTGATACATTTATGTGACGAGACTATTAATCTTAGGAGAATGCTATTTACATATTTTTTTTTAATGTTATAATCAAGTCATTTCATGCATTGGGAATGTAAAAATCATGTATTTAATGTTGATATGTACGAGGAAGAAATTCATGGGTAGAGATACAAAGGGGTGCATTTAGCCCAGGGACGGACCTATAGTGGTGCATATGATGGCCACAAGCGGAATTTTATTTCACCTGGGACCTTCTGGTACTTTTGACATTTGGAACCAAGCTCAAACCAATCAGGCACCACCGTTGTGGTTAAAAAAAAGTGCAACCATATTAATATGTTGTGTGACACCGTATATATCTTGAAAATACAATGAAAACAAGTTTTATTTGGTCGAGTTGGTTTGCAAGGCTCTAATTCCACCCCAGACCCGAGTTCGAATATTGTTAGTGTCACTTCTTAATCAAATGGTACCACTGTTTAAAAAAAATTATATATATTTGTTTCTTACAATTAAACGGTACCACATCGTCGTTTTTTGCCATTGAATAATTATTATTCAAATAAGTATTTTATTTTTATTTTATTTAAATTAATACAAATAAACAAGACGTGAAAAACTAGCAATTTAGCATACAAAATTGGGATTAAATCGACGGCTATGATAACAAAGTGTTTTTGTTTTACATTATACGTGTCACGTGTGTTAAAAGCATATTCGATATATTATCTAAAATTAAAAAAAATGATTAGGTTTTTGTTTTCTATTTTGTTATAACAGATTTTTTATATTGTTCTTTAAAATAAAAAAAACCAGATAAAATTCCAAGTTTAGAAAAATACTCTAAAATTTGATGTGTGGAGAGAGAAACTGGTTTGTTATTCATTATCATCAATTAGATTGAATTATTATTATTATTATTTAGAAAAAGTTTAAAAAATACAACGAATTATCCTATTTTGAGTGATTAAGTCTCTTGATGATTTCTTTGAATGGTAAACTATTAAACTTTCTTATTTTGAATGATTAAGTCTATAAACTATTTATTTGAATGAAAAAATCATTAAACTTTTTTTATTTTGAATGATTAAGTCTCTGAACTATTTATTTTAAGAAAAAAAAACCATTAAACTTTCTCCTTTTGATTGATTAAGTGCTTGAACATTCTTTTTTAAAATAAATTTAAAAGTTGGTTACCTGTATTTTTTTTAACCCAAAAAAAGTTACATTAACCGACTACTAAGAGTTCGATGGTTCATTTATTTTATTATTTTTAAAATCAGAGTCTTAATCATTCAAAATGTGAAAAATTGATAGACTTAGGGGCTGTTTGGCAATTGTTGAATGGTTAGGTGCAGAATGATTAAGTGGTCAGAATGATTAAGAAATTCTCATGATATAGTACAAAATGAAATATAATTATTTGGTAATTGTGTACAATGAAAATAGGGCTCTTAATGATTAAGAGAGATCCAGTATACAAAATCATTCAGAGAGTTTTAAAACCATTAAGAGGTAGATTTTCTTTTTGCTAAACAATATTCATCTCTTAATATGATATGTGATAACTTCAACCTTAAGGTTTTATTTCACATGATTTTTTTCCTTCGACATATAGTATTTAATGTATCGATTAACAAATATTTGTTTCACAATGCGTTTATTTCATATGTATACGGTTCACAATGTGAAACATATTTACATGTATTTTTTGTTTAACAAACACGTAAGAAAATTCACATAGTGAACCGCATACGTATGAAACAAACACATTATGAAACAAATATATCTTAATATATATTCTAAATTATAGTCTTAGATGAAAAAAATCATATGAAATAACACATGACGTATAAGTTTTCAAAGTTATCACAATTTTATGGTTTCTCAAAAAAAGATCTCATACGTACGTACATACATACATACATACATACATACATACATACATACATATAGGTGGAGTTCAAACGTGAACACCTCCATTTTACGAGAACGCGACCATTTTACGAGAACGCAAGAACATCCTTATCACATGTGATAATATGCGTAAGGGGGCCCTGTGATGTGCAGACGACGTGTTCTACGACTTAGGCCACGCCAAAGGTTGTTTGCGTCTATAATTTAGTATCACATGTGATGATCTTGATGGATTATAGTATCATATCAACAAGACCTTTGTCACATGTGATAATATTTATGAGAGAGCTCAGCGGTGTAAGGACGACTTGGCCCCCAACGAAGATCGCATCAAAAATCGACCGTGTCTCTGATTTAGTATCACACATGTGTCATATGTGATGAAATAATAGTATCACATGTGATTGTCTATAATAAAAGGATGTTATCGCATTCTCATAAAATTAAAGTGTTCTCGTTTGAATCCTTCCATATATATATATATATATATATATATTATTTTAAACCATATCATGTTACATATACCTACAAAAATACATTCAAAGATAATTGACATGTTATTATTATTTTGGTTATAAGTTAGAATATTAATATAGTCAAAAAAAATATAAAATTAAATACATTTTAACCTTAAAAATCATCAAATCGAGACAAAAAAAATGCTTGTATTTTTTCGTTAATTTTTAAACGGTGTTTTACATATTGCAACTATGTCTTAATTTTTTAAAATTTTTATAACTTTAAAATATTATTTACGAAAGATATGTGATAGCAACATATTTTAAGTAAATCCTATTTGATAATAACTTTTTTATTTTAATTTAATAAATAAATCAGTATCTTCACAATTGAGTTGTCTCAACATAGATAGATGATAATTTATTGGGTAACTATTTATCGGATGTCACATGTATTTCAGGATAGTATGACAAATATCTGCAATAAATACCGTGAGTTTGTTTTTTAGTAGTCATTACTAAATGGTCCGTTTACAACCACAAGTGTGGTGTCTAATTGGTTTGAGCTTGGTTGCAAAAGTCAAAAGTACCAGGAGGTATCAGATTCAAATATAAGGAGAAATAAAAATCTTCTTGTGGTCACGGAGGTTCAAATGCGATGACTCCAGTCTATCTGCAAAACAGGTAGTTGCCCTGGAATTAGTCGGCTCGCATAGCAAGTTGGATATCCAGTTTAACAAAAAAATGGTCTTTTTACAAAACACTTACCAGGTAGGTGATTATCAGGTGTAACTTACCTTACCAAGTGAGCTTATAAAAACCGATAATCTTATCCAGTAAGAAGTATAATAAGAATCGAAAATTTTACCAAGTAATTGATGGATAAATTTTTTATCCAGTAAACAGTTATTCAGTAAATTACCACTTACTAATAATCTATTTTAATTACTGATAAGGTAAATGATGATGGTAATTTTTGACATTAAAAATAAACGTTTTATAAAAATTATAAACACAATTATTGATAAAAAAATAATTATATA